TCATCACAGTAATAAAGGTAACTCCAATTGTAGCATTTATTTATGTTGTAGTTCAGTTTCTACACCTCTCATTTATGTGTCAAGGTAAAAGGAGGAAAATTAACTTGTGAAAGCAGTAGCAGATGTCAGTGTTGAATACACAAAGAGCTTTTAAAGTTTTTAAAACTTTATACAAACTGACCAAGCTACTACTCATTTCTTATTTACAAGTAGGATGGGAAATGTTCCTGTTTTGCCTGCTAATAATAAACCTTTTGTGTGCGTGAAATACCACATTCTCTTCACTCGTGCAAAGCACACAAATTCTACTTAAGCCCAGCATTTTTGTGAATATTTAATCCCGACCATGAACTTCACAAGAGAGCACTTGCCAGCACTGCAATATATCTCAAATCATGAACGCCTTTAAAGATCAGGAGTTCTCTACATTAAAATTTGCTGCCTTTATTAAAATCTAGGTCCCTTACAGAATTTTTATTTATTTTTGAAATGGTCTTTGATCTGAAGACTGCACGCAGTGCTTAGGTCCAAAGCATTAATATGCCAATGAGATGGTGTGATGACAGGATACCACAGAATGGCAGGAGTACCTTCAGCAACTGATTATTAAAATTGAATGGTCTTCTGGAGGTAAAATAGAAACCAAGCACATTCCCACAGTCAGCAGGAATAACAGCCAATGCAGCCATTTGGATCACCCCATCACACCTGCTCTTTTATAAGCCAAATCTTCCTGATAGATACATAAGCCCCATATTGTCATCTGATTTCTATATAGTGACCGACTTGTTGGAAAGTACAAGTCTGGGTGTTGGGACAGGATCAAATTGAATATGATGTCTTCCTTCATGGCAAAAGACCTCCCAGTGCTTACTGTTTCGTCATAGGTAACAACAACAATTTTGGATGAGAATCCATGGCACCACGAGGGCTTCTGATACTAAGGAGGGAAAATGGAAAATGTTTTGAAGAACAATTTTAGCTCAACACCTCAGGGCAGTAGGTTCATTTCTACTGTGTGTGGATAGAACAATGACCCATTCAAGTAGTGCCCTAAAATGGTTCCAGTAAGATGAGAAATCTAATATGGGACACGGAATCTATCTCCTACTCCCTTCCTCGTGGTTGCACTACGCAAGTCAACCAACATGTTTTGTAACCATAAGATTCAATAGTTTTTTTTCGCTAAAACATTAAAGAAATTCTAGAATCAAAATTCCCTGCAACGCTGCTCTGAAACTGGAATGAAAATCACATTCAAAGTAGAAACAAGGGAGAAAATAATAGGAATGACAGGGCACAGAACCAAAGGATGTACAACTGTTGTAGGCTCAACAAAATATGCAGCTTTGATGAACAAATTATTTTCTCAACAAAGTGCAACAAGATAACTGGATCCCTGTTGGGAGACTTAACCGTAGTTACTGAATCCCCCTCTACCCTAATATAATTTTTTAAAATATCAAAATGACACTATGGACAAGGAATTCAACATTTTTGATCCATTAAATTGTAGGAAGGGCCAGTTTGCAAATTTATGCCCCTCAACTCCACTTCCACCCCCTTCCCCCCAAACCCTGCCAACGTGAAGAATACAATTTCAGTGGCACATGGAACTTAAATATTGATAAGTGTTTCTGAAATGTACTTCTATTACAAAACTTTGTTCACTTTGTAATAGATGGCAGGAATAAGAGAACTCTGAGATGAACTTCTTCAAATTCCACCTGTATATTCAAATATTGCTTTTGCAATAATCACAGTATAGGGCTAGGGGCTTGAAATTCTATGAATGATAACTACAATAGACTTCTTGTTAAGGACATTTGTCTTGCAACCAAGATATCAATTTGTAATGAGGTTTTACTGCACCATGTATTTTACCTAGAATATTTTTATTTCATTCTTTAAGCACTCCAAGACACTGTCTGCATGAAGGGCGCGCTATAAATTACAAGTTGCTGTTGTTGTTATTCTTTGAGATGGGCCAAATAGACTCCAGAAGTCTTTTTTCTATCATGCACGTTCTTACTTTTTTAAAAAAAATTCCTGGACATTTACAATATATGGGCAGAGTTTTCCATATTCAATTATAGTCAGTCAAAAATGAATGACAATAATGAACAGTTCATTTTAAATCATAAATACTAAAGAGCGAACGGAAAAATGCTTACTGAATAGGCGCTATAAAAATGTAATTTTGTTGTTGTTAAATAGGAAAAATGGCAAAATGGTTATGCCAGAATTACAAGTGATAGAATGGCCCAGTTATACAGGGACCTGATGCTCAACTAGACCCACTGTATTGAATACAGATGGCTTGTTTATTGGAACCGTTTTATTTAGTAACATGCTCTTCATGGAACAGCTCCATTTTAAACAACATTCATTTTTTGAAACATTAAACATCAATGGAAACACAAGACTCCTGCCAGGCAGAAAGGCGTGTGATACAATAAGCAAAGAGGAATATATATGCCAGTCAGAATTCGCTACAGAATCCACTATGAAATTGCACTGGCATGCTTCCAAACAAACCAATGGGTCCATACAAAGACTCATAATTTGGGTGAATTAGATATTGAGCATCAAATGTCAAATTACAGCTGATCTGTTTTCTGGGCACAAGTAAAGCCTAGGAGATTGCTTCATGCTATCTCACTGCCAGTGGCAAAAAACCTTCACCGATTGGCATAGGAACTTGCATTTAGATTTTTACTTCCATGATGAACCATGATATTCAGAATGGGCAAAGATCTTTCAGGATTATTTACTGCAACAGCTTTTACTGATGATTCTTGAGGGCCTTCTCATGCTTGAAATCAGCATTTGTTTTCCTTCCAAGTTTGTTCAATTCTCTCCAAAGGGCAATGACTCAAAATGGAATGGTACGTCAGTTCCTCGCCCAAGTGGCTGTGCTTTAGGATGAGCCCAGCCACTGAGTGTTGGTAGGCTATTTGACTATTTGACTGGCTATTTGTATGTGTGTTGTGTATTTGTGTATATGTGTGTGTTTATATGTGCGTGTGTGTGCGCACGCCCGCGTGGTCGGACATTAGAGATAATATCCTCATCCAACATTTACATAATTCCACTTTCCAGCAAGCATCACAAGACAGAAACGCAGACATTACTAGATAGCAATTGTAAGTGAAGACCCTGGCTGATCTTTCACCTCTCACCTGCTGCACCATTGAAAGACCAGGATTTGAACCAGGAATCTACCTGATCTATGTGACTATGTTAAACAGATATTTGGTGGGTCAGGGTGTCAAATATGAGGCAAGGGCAGGTAACCGGACTTGAGTTATAGATCAGCCATGTTCTTATAAAATGGCGGAACAGGCTTGAGGGGTTGATTAGCCTGTTTCTATGTGGACTCCTGTAGCTCAGTGGTTAGAGCACTCGCTTTGCAAGCGAGAGACCTGAGTTCAATCCCAGGCAGAGGGCGAAACCTTGGACAAGTTTCCTTACTCCACACAGAGCCTAATAATAATCCCTCCAAAACCAGAAACAATAGTAAATTGGTCATTTTCAATCTACGACTGTTTGTGGGACATTGCTGTGTGCAATTAATTGGCTGCCGCGTTCGCCCACAAATATACAGTCAATTCACTTTACAGTGTGTTCTGTGAAGCGCTTTGGGACGTCCTCCCAACGTGAAAAGCGCTATATCAAATGCAAGGATTATTATTATTTATGACTCAGAACTCCTCGCATTTACATACGGGATACGCACTGAAACAAAGAAGCAGCATTGTATCCACTGCAATACTACTTGTTTCCTCTTCCAAACCATATGGAGTCTGATAATAATAATTCTTGCATTTGATATAGCGCCTCATCACATCTTTGAGACATCTCAAAGTGCTTCACAGAGTATACTGTAAAGTGAATTGACTGCATACCTTGTGGGCGAAACGCAACAACCAACAAACAACAGCAGTGTCCCCCAAACAGTTGTGGTTTGAGTGACCAAATTATTATTGTTTTACTTAGAAATTGACAAAATTATGATCATACATTATGCTCTCGACAACATTGTGAAGTGAACTGACTGGGTGGAGTTACAAATCCCTACAGTACAAGGGAGGTAAATTAACATTGTATATAAGCATTAAACTGGGCTCCTTTGGCAATCCTGTGAATTCTAGTGTAAACAATTAATCTCAGTCAGTGTCAGTGCTATGTCCCAGCCTAATGATACAAATTAGCACTTAAGGCTTCAACAAGTTTTAAATCATGAAAAATAGATAATATCCCTATAGGATTCGTCAACTCTTAAAGCAGTACTGAGGGGGAGAACCATCTTACACATAAATGAAAGGAAACCAGTGCGCAAATTATAAATTGTTTACATTGATCAATATTTTAAATTATTGATTTTAAGAAGCACAATGCAAACTTTTGGATTAAAGCTGATAAAGCAGCTAGCAAAGCTTTTCCAAGATTTTATTTTGCACGGGCTCTGCACCCAAGTTTGTCCAATATTTAGAGGCCAGTCACATGAGAATCTCAACCAGTCTTCTACTTGAGCTGTCAGACATAATTGAAGTATCTCACAAATTGAAGAGCGAGAAAACAAAATCAGCAAACACAAAGATGACACAACAGAAATAATTAATACTGAGAACCACTACTTTACTGCTGGAGTTGAGCAATAAATTATAGTTGAGAACAATGATTTTAAAGGGTATAGTGATCCTTTTTTCAAACTATGAACTTGATGTTACAGTATTTAGCTTTATTTCATGAAAGATCCTGGAACCTATGATTCAGTTATATAATGCCCTCCCTTATAGCCCTTAGTTCTGGCAACAGAACAATCTTTTATTTTACAACATAGTCTTACAAAAGAAGTAGCCACATTGAAAAAAGAGGAAAAAAAATCAGCCCACTAAGGAATAAATTCAACCTGAGAACACATCCGTCACGCCAGCAAGTACAGCAAATATTTAATGGCATATTTTGTCAAACATTAAAACATGTATTAAACTTACCTGACTTTTCCAGCCAAGTTTGTATGTATGTGTTGCTTGAATTCCAGGTATTTTGAAGCCAAGTATGCAAAATCCGGAGGCTTATCTTTGTATCTGTTCCTTGGATGCATAGATTTGTTGAGAGCCATCCTAATAATAAAGAAAAGCCAGAATGTGAAAACTCCAAAATAAGAATGGAGAAACGTGCAATTGACCAGTGTGAAAATAACTGCATAACGTTATGCAGAACTCATCAATAAGTTGCGGACTGCAGTATTTGTAAGGATCACTGGAGAACAATAATTCTGTTTTCTTTGCTTCTCTCTAATGGTCTTCAACTTCTGACAGCTGAACAATAAATGCACTGTTATCAGAGCTGCCAAGTTAAATAATAAAACAATCCAACACAAGGTAAGATTTCCAAGTGTTATGCTGTTGTTTAAGCACTTAAGAATGCAGCCGCGATTGCATCAGGGTCCACCTACCCCGTTTATGCATTTTCTTTACCCTTCTTTCTCTCTTCACCACACACCCCAACCAATCCATCCATCCACACTGAAAGTGAGGGGAGGGAAAGCAAGAAGTAGATAGAGGCAACATATTAAAGAACAAAACTGGTATCTGCAATAAAGAGCCCAGTCTACAGCAATGAAGCAGGAACTGTAGTAGTTTCTACAATTCTATTATGCTGACGGTCCACTTTTTGGATATACTATGTCAGACCAGTGAATGTTACTACATTCATAGTAACATTTCAGTGCTTCAGTCTCAATGTCAAAACCTGTCACAAATGCTTTAACGTGTTGTGAATATCACTGTCATTTTCTCAGAGATCTGGAGACAACCAATTTGTGATTGGCAACACTCCATCCCTTGGGGAAGGCTACGTGCAAGATCTGGCTGTTTCATAAACTCCCTTCTACACAATTATTCGCTCCTCTCCCAAAGGTTATGCCTCTCTCTGATGTACTGGTTCATGATTGTCAGTCCACTCTCCACTCAGCTGAGCCTGACCCAACATCTACAGTTTCCAGCATAAATCACTCATTAGATTAATCCTTATTTAATTTCATTATAGAGAAAACACAAGCTGTAGAATCTGCTTTGGTTAATTTATAAATGCAGTCACTATACTATACAATAAAATCCTGTGAATCAGTGATGTTTTGATGATGTGATAGGGTGCTATATAAAATGCAAGGATTATTAGTATTTATATACAGTACTATTAAATATTATTGAATTGGTTACCGTACAAACATTTGTGAGCTTAACAGCTTTTCGGTCTGTATGATTCAATACTACACCACACATTGCATTTAGTCAATGAGATCTTGAGACACCATTCTCTGTTTGTATGATTTTACTGCGGTCTTTTGAAGATGTATTGCGTTAGTGAATTAGAGGAAAAATATCACATGGGAAGGGTGCAACTGGAGTTGGAGTAGGTGGAGAGAATTGAGAAGTCTGCAGATTCCATTGAAAGGAATGGGGAGTTCTGGTCAATTTCCATTGCACAAACAGGGAGATCACATCTTTTCCCACCCAAGAAGGCATACTTTCTCCTAAAGCCTTTCTTCCAAAGTCAATGTTGCTCTGTACTGACAGTAGGAGGAGCAGAATACCACAGGTCAACTTGCTCTGTGTTTTCACAATTCTGCAGGTGAATGCCACACCCATTCACTAATAATAATAATAATCCTTGCATTTGATATAGCGCTTTTCACGTCGGGAGGACCTCCCAAAGCGCTTCACAGAACACACTTTAAAGTGAATTGACTGTATATTTGTGGGCGAACGCGGCAGCCAATTGCGCACAGCAATGTCCCACAAACAGTCATAGGTTGAAAATGACCAATTTATTATTTTTTGTTTTTTGGGGGGTTTTTTTGGTTTAGTAAGACTGCGTCTTACTAGCAGCTCAGCAGGAATCGGCTCACATCCATCAAGTGAAAAAAACAGGTAATTAACAATCAGTAGAGTGACTAAATATGAGCATGTTCAGAACACCTTCCCTTGCTTAAAGGGCGATATTTCATTTAAAAAACCACAATGATGCACAACAAAGTCAGTTTTGTGAAACAATCTTACATTATGACACAAAATGCAGTGTTCATTTAAACCAATGAATTCAGTGCTCAATGCAGGTGTGCACAACACTTTAATGTTCCCGCTCAATATAAGAATTTTAAAAAAGGATGCAATAATGAGCTATGGAACTTAATATCCTGCATCAGCGAACATTATTTCCCCCAAAACACATTAAAAATAGTAAGGTACTTTTACACCACGTTTTGGCTGATGTGGTAATGCCTCCAGAATTCCACATGGAATTTTGATAAACATAAGTACTTGATTCTGCAAAATCTATCAAACATATACAGAAAAACACAGAGAAAAGATATTTTGCTCTGCCAAATCATATTCCACTCCAAGATAATCTTGGAGGTCAAGGAAAACCCAGGCTCCTCTTCTCCACCATAACTGGCTCCTCCGGCCACCCTCTCATGCTTTGCCCATCCTCTTCTCCAACTCCAACTCCGAGGAGATGCTGGACTTCCTCAAGACCAAAATCGAGGGGATCCGCTCGGCTGCCTCTGCTCTTCCAACCACTCCATCCTCCCCCACCACCTCTCCTCTCACCTCAACCTTCACAGTTCTATCCTTGACCGGTTCAAATCCTACCTTTCCCACGGCCTCCACTTTGTCTCCACAATCGGCTTCTCCTCTAACCACCGCATGGTCTCATGCAGCGGTCCTCAGGGCTCTGTCCTCTTCAATATCGACATGCTCCCTCTTGGCGATATCATCCGCAGACATGGGGTCAATTTCCACATGTATGCAGATGATACCGAACTCTATCTCTGCCTCCACCCTCGACTTCAGGATTACTGCTGTCCTGACGGAATGTCTGTCAGACAGTAAGTCCTTGATGAGAGTTAATTTTCTCCAGTTGAACTTCAGCAAGAATGAGGCCCTCCTGATTGGCTCCCGTCAGCACCTCCACACCTCAGGCGCTGGCAGTATCACCATCCAGGGACGCACCGTCCACCTCATTGAGCTAGACCAGAACCTTGACGTCTTGTTTGTCCCTCAACTGTCCTTTCTACCCCACATCCGTGCCATTCTGCCTTCCCCACCTCCGCAACATCTCCTGGCTCCGCCACTGCCTCGCCCCTCAGGCCGAGACCCTCATCCATGCATTTGTCACATCTAGGCTCGACTACCCCAACTCCCTGTCTGTCGGCTTTCCCAACTGTTCCCTCCACAGCTGCAGATCATCCAGAACTCTGCAGCTCGTGTACTCATCCGCACCAGGTTCCATGACCCTATCACCCCCATCCTCGCCCTGCTTCACTGGCTCCCCATCCCCCAGAAGATAATCCTTCTCCTCATCTTCAAAGCCCTCCAGGGCCTTGCTCCTTCCTATCTCGGTGACCTGCTAACGCAATATCGGCCCGTCCGCTCCCTCCGCTCAGCGGGCTTCGGCCTGCTCCACGTCCCCCGCCGACCCACCATCTGCGGTGGGTCTTCAGCCTCTCTACCCCCACCTTCTGGAATTCTATCCGCAGTCCCTTTACTTGCTCCTTCCCTTGCCTCCTTGAAGACACGTCTCAAGACCCTCCTCTTCGACTGGCCTTCGGCCACCCTCCTACCACTTGGTGACATTTGTTCTTGTTAATAATGGAATGAGCAATAGATGCCCAGGCAAGTTTGATTACAGTATTTGTTTTATTAAAGTTCAATTAATCATAACCCTCGCCCAAATGACTATTCATTTCTACGATTTGTTCATGAACAATCGCGCTCCCCTTGACAAGCTGACCCTGCATAATAATTCAGGCTACATTCAGCCACTGTCAAGTTTTCCTCCCTCCTGATAGCTGCACTTCAAGGCATCCCTGCACCTTGTTCCTCCTTCAATAACTTTCTTCAGCGACTGCTGTAGTTTAATACCGTGCCTTGATTCCCAACACTTAACCATAAGAAGCACAGTGCAAACCCAAGGGCATAAATGGGGTTCAGACTCCGGAGCAGGTGAATGAATCACCACGACCTTAGATCCCCACAAAGGAACAACTCCGAAATGACAGGTCAGGGGCGAGAGCACTGAGAGTGTATTTCGAAACAGGAGTGTCACATTCAAGACTTTGGTGTACGCTCGTTAGCATTTCACTCAGAAAGGTATTCCTCAACACACATCCCGATTTAACGCTGTCGTGATTTTATTCAGATGGGGGTAAAGTGTTGTTTGGAAACTCATCCCTCCCCACCCCCACCCACCCCTCAAAGAGAGACCCTCCTCTGGCTAAAGGGTGTCGTTTCACGGACTTGTGCGAACTATTATAAGCAACGTCGGTACCTTGCCGAGGCGGCGGCTCTGGTATTGAAGCGCGGTCCTGCTCCTCCGCCCGCTCTCCGGGGCCTTGTCCTCTCTGTGTCAGTCCCAGGCCGCCGCCATTCCGGGCGCCGCGCACCAAGGCTGTCCTCCCCTCTGACCCGGAAAGACTCACTCGCGCACGCGCAGCTCTCTCCCCGCAGACGCCTCCTGTGTGTCAGTGGAAGAGCTGCCGACGTTCGGGAGATTCTTCACTGATCATTTCTTATAATTTTTTTTTAATCATTTTATTGTGACTGAACCATTTGTGCTTCACCCACAAAGTACACAGTCGCTACAAATTACGGTGTGTTCCGTGAAGCGCTTTGAGACGTCTCGACGATGTGATGAGGCGCTGTATAAAATGCAAGGATTATTACTGCGTCCGACAAGAGTGGCACATTGTCGAACCCATTCTGAAGATGGATTGCCTCTTACGGTTCTAAACATGTATGGCGCTGTGTTTATCTGGCACAGACAGAGGTGATACTTTTCCAGTTTGTCCCTGATCTCTTTTTTCAAGAGAAATTGTGTTCAAGCTAAACACTTATATCTTTTTATCCCTCTCATTAAGGTAATAGAATAGACTTCACTGGATTCAGTTCAACAGAAGCTGACAGGCCTCAGCCTAGTGACTATTATGCAAGTATGAACCTAGACATTGTGTGCTGGTTGACGATTCAACCACTGGGACAGTTTAGGATAGGCTGAACTGTCCACACCCAGGTTGAACTACCAATGGTGGGAAGGAATGAGGAATGCACAATAATGCAAGGGTTACTGAGGCCAACGGCATGTTATTGTTACCCTGGATATATTTAGGCAAAGACTAGAGATCTTTCAGATCTGTATTGTTATTACCCTCTAAGCAATGGCTTTAGTAACTGAGCCATCAATTTGAAGTTAGTCTATCACCCTAAATGTTTGTTAGAGAGAATAAATTGTTCACTCTGTACTTCATTTGGACATGGACTGCACTACGTAAGTAGATGTCACTTCAGAATTATGTTTGTGTGCTTAGGATACTTTCTCACAGTGATACATAAGCACATTCCACATTGATTTTTTGCAGTACAGTTTTACTATGTTCATGTTTGCATGAAGCAAAACATTTCTACAACATTTGTATTGAATGCAAAAACTGATGCAACAAATATCTTGTAATATACATGCAATCTGGCTGTTTGGAAGGTTCACTATCAGGTGACAAAGGTTACTAAAAGCACACACCTCAATGATTTTGCTGCACACGAATTAACTGCTGCAATTATGCAATCACTAATTTCAAGGTGGAGAAATCTAAAGTACTTCACATGGGCACAAAATATCATGGAAGGGACTTATTATTTGAATGGAAGAAAAATAATATGTATGGAAAATGAAAAAGACCTAACGTTCCTGATTGACAATAAATTGAAGCTCTCCCAACAATGCTCTGTGTCAGTGAGTAAAGCAAACTAGATGTTGGAATGCATCAAAAGATCAATAGCAAGCCGAAATAGAGGGTAATCCTGCCACTGTATAAATCATTGGTGAGACCATACTTAAAGCATTGTGTATAGTTCTGGTCGCCGCAGTATAAAAAGGATATTTGAGAAATCGAGAAGATATAGAGGAGGACAACCAAAATGATTGAGGGAATGGAAGAACTGGACTATGAGGTGTAAATTGCTGGAAAAGAGAGGATTGAGAAGCGACATGATTGCTGTCTTTAAGATTCTAAAGTTGCTAAACAATATAGATCATGACAGGCTGTTTCAACTTGTCCAGAATAGTAAAATCAGTGGCCTGCGATTGAAAGGGGGGGGGAGGTAAATTCAGAACGAATCTACGCAAACACTATTTCAGTGAGCGAATAGTGAACCTGTGGAACAGGCTCCCTAGGGAGACCATTGAAGCAGGAAGTGTTGATTCTTTTTAACACAGATTAGATAGTTTTAGGAAATAACATTATGGGATACAGTACATAGGCAGTTTAGGACATATGTGCATGCAACTGCCAGGAAGGTATAAGGCAAACTAGATGGACCTTGGTCTTTTTTCACCTAGCATTTCTTATGTAATGTAAAATCTAGTCCTTTTATAGCTTGTCTCAGCATTACCACTAATCAATCATTAATCACTACAACTGATAACAAAATTACAAAGATCACCTTTATGCAAAACACTTGTATAAAAGAATTTGAAGATTCCTTACATTTTTTCCAATCGGGTGAAATTATTTAGAAAGACTAAAGTGGGTTCATGTTGGTCTCACCTAGGAGACCCCAGGTTAGAATATCAACTGCAGTTCATAAAATGGAATGTTGGTCGTAAACCTATTAATCGGTCCTAATTTTGTTACAAACAAGGAGGATGATTTAAAAAAAAGTTTTGGGGAAATTTCACAAGTCCCAGGAACAATTGTAAAAGTGCAAAGGATGTATTTTCATAAAATTATCTCTTGTTCCTTATATACAGATTTTTAACTGTCTGATGAATGTTTGCAAAGACTCCTCAATGAAGGTACTAATAATATGGTCATCTTAAAATAGCCACAGAACCTCTAGAAAAGAGACAAGATTCCTTTCAAGATGGTTAGGTTTACTACACATTGGTAAAGCAAAAATGTTAGCATTTACAATGAAAATACATTGATTTTGTCTTTATTTCACATTTACTGCTTCATTTACTGACTGCAGAATAATTCGGAGCTAGAACTGTGCAGTTATATTGCCAAGTACCAAATTGCTCTCACCCAAGTCTAATTACAAGAAGAGCACATTAATCTGCTAATTGGTGACACAAGCCATAAATTATACATCCGGAAGTACAACTCTTATTTCCATGGCCAGGAACTTTTAAACTTAGGAATGTAAAAATATACATTAAAAAAAATCACTATATTGCATCTGACCATTTCCACATTCTCAGTCCCTTCTTCCAAACACCATTGTATTCTCTTGCTTGCATAAACCAATCCACACCACGATTATAGGTTGATTTAATTCCCTTGTGAACTTCAAGTGTAAGGAGGTAAAATTAAGTTTGTACAAGACATTAGTTAGGCCACAGTTAGAGTATCTCATCTAGTTTAGGGCACCACATTATAGAAGGGGCGTTACAGATGTATAAAGTTGGGATGTCACAACAATGGATACAATGCAGCAGAAATTTATTAGAGACTGAGAGATTATCACTATATGGAGACTTGAAAAGTTGGGCCTAGGTTTGAATGGAACAGAGGTTAATGAGGGCATAAAATGAGTAAGCTTGCCATAAAAGTGTCACCTTTGCTCAGTTGGTAACATTCAACTCCCCCTTGGTGACGTCATCTGCAGACATGGGGTAACCTTCCACATGTATGCGGATGACACCCAACTCTACCTCTGCCTCCACCCTGAACTCCAGGACTACTGGCGTCCTGACGAAATGCCTGTCCAACATCAAGTCCTGGATGAGGGCCAACTTTCTCCAACTCAACGTTAGCAAGACCAAGGCCCTCCTGATTGGCTCGCGCCAACGCCTCTGCACCTCAGGCGTTGGCAGCATCAGCCTCCACGGTTGCACACTCAACCTCACTGAGCCAGTCAGGAACCTGGGTATCTTGTTTGACCCTGAACTGTCTTTTCTCCCCCACATCCGCGCCATAACTGGCACTGCCTACCACCACCTCCGCAATAGTGCCAGACTCCGCCACTGCCTCACCCCTCAGGCTGCTGAAACCCTCACCCATGCATTTGTCACCTCAAGGCTTTATTATGGGAACTCCCTCCTTATCAGCCTTTCTAACTCTTCCCTTCACAAGCTGCAAATCATCCAAAACTCTGCAGCTCGTGTACTCTCGCGCACCAGGCTCCGTGACCCCATCCCTCCCACCCTCGCCCGACTCCACTGGCTCCCCATCCCCCAGAGGATCAAGTTCGAGATCCTTGTCCTCACCTTTAAGGCCATCCATGGCCTTGCCCCCTCCTACCTCTCTGACCTGCTGACTCCCTACAAACCACTCCCTCCGTTCGTTGGGCTCCGCCCTGCTCCATGTCTCCCACTCAACCCACCCTACCATCGGTGGCCGGGCTTTCAGCCTCTCTGCCCCCACACTCTGGCACTCCATCCCACGGTCTTTTGGCATCGCTTCCTCCCTTGCCTCCTTCAAGGTCGGTCTCAAGACCTTTCTCTTTGACCGTGCCTATGGTCTCCCTCCCACCTCTCTGCCTTCCCTCACTCCTCCACCACCACCCCCACCGCCATGCTCGGGCCCCGACACCTGACTGTTCAGCGCGTCGAGACGTCCTCCCGACGTGAAAGGCGCTCTAGAAATGTAATTTTGTTGTCGACGTCGAGCTCCTAATGCAGGAGAAACTCCCAAGAGATAGTGTGGTCCCTCGAATGATCCGTTAAACTGAAGTCCTTCGTAAAAAGGTTTCTCCCCTGCGTGGTGGCCGAGAATCGCCCCCCCCCCCGACTCTGCCAGTTGGTCACGTCCTCCTTCCTCCGTGGCCGTGTGCAAACTGGTTACAGTGTTGGCCCGCGAACACAGTCACTACACTTTACAGCAAAATCCTGTGAGTGGCTACCACCGAAACGTAAGGACAATCAGCACTCGCCTTACACCGAGGAGGGTTGGCACGTGGAACGCCCTGACCACGATTAGCTGTTGAAGATTGGTCCGTAACATCATTTTTTTTGGGGTGGGGGCAAGTTTTAAAAAAAAGGGAGGGCATTGGAATAAATACTTACATTAAATTAAAGGTTGTGCATCGTAAGAGCAGAGAGAGAGAGAGAGAGAGAACCACTCCAAGACCTCAAGGGTTAGCTAAGGGTTGAGCTGCCAAGCCAGTGCGGCCCCACTGCGCATGCTCGCCAACGGTCGGTGGCGTCACCCTGGGCTCGCGCCCTCTCCTCTCGCGCTCACGCGTTGGCGCAGTTCAGGGCGACCGTAGGTGCGCACGCGCAAAAGTCGGAGCGGGAGGGAGAGGGGCGGGGGGGGGGGCGTCTCCACTCCACCGCACCCCCGCCATCACGCGACACGCACGCTACGTTACGTTACGCTACGCACGGACGCGAGACACAGCGGCGCAGGCGAAGTCAGTCATTTCGGACGAAAGGGGAGAGAGAGAGAGAGAGAGAAACGGACGAAGTGCGCAGCTCGTTCTGCGCAGACTCCACACGGCAGCGTAGAGGGAGAGACGGAGCGGAGGGTGAGTGAGCCGGAGAGAGAGAGAGAGAGAGGGGGAACGAGGAAAAAAAACGACGAGGAGGAGGCGGCGGCGGCTTTAACCTCTTTTGACAGCCGGCGGTTGGTGGGTGGGGGGGGTGTGGTGTGGTGGAGAAAAAAAAACACCCTGGATTCTCGTCTGAATGGTCGCCGTTACCCAAGCACACGAAAGCCGACTCTCTGTCCGCGGTAAGTCGGTGTCCGTTTGGAAACTAGAGAGGAGGAGGAGAGAGAGAGAGGGAGGGAGAGAAAGAAAGAGGGAGGGAGAGAGAGAGAAGCCGGGGCGAGAAAGACTTTCCTCTCACTGATTCTGCTTTGCTGTGTGTGGTAATAAAATGGCGCCCGGCCGTTGGTGAAACACAGACAGGGACCGACCGGGGGGACCTTCAAATGATCCGATGCTGTCGCCCGCCACCAGTGCAGTGCCCCCCTCCTCCTCCTCTTCCTCCTCCCTCCCTCCCTTCCTTTCTTTCCTTCCTTCCTGACCGACCTTTTTTTTTCTCCGAAAAAATATATATCCTATTTTTAGTTTTTCTTTTTTTTTCTTTAAAAGACACGCAAATATATTTATACATACATACGTATATATATATATATAATCTGTCTATCCCGTGAGGGTGAGTGGGCGACGTGGCCTTTTTTTTCAAAAAAATTATTATCCTTGTTCGAGAAATTCCACAATTCGTCGTGTTTTCTGCATCTCTTCCCCCTCTCCCCACCCCCCTAAACCCCCTCCCTCCCTCACCCTCCCACCCACCACCCACCATTCGTGGCGTTTCGCCCACAAAATATCCAGTCGATTCACTTCACGGTAGGTTCTGTCAAGCGCTTTGAGACGTCTCGAAGACGTGATAAGCCGCTATATCAAATGCGAGGATGATTATTATTATTATTATTATTATTTTTGGTGGTGGTGGTCGGGGGGGGGGCCGGGAGGAGGAGGGCGGCTTTTATTTTCATGAATTTCGGGGTGACCCCGTTCCTTCCTTCCGTGCGCGAAAAATACGGGTTGGTTTTATTTTTTCCCTTTTCTTTTGACGATCACCCCCCTCCCCACCCACACACACACACCCCAACCACCACCTACACCCACCCCCCCCCACACACACACACACACCCTCTCCCTCTCTCTCTTTCTCCCTCCCTTTTTTTTCCTCTCGCCGCCGGCGTGGCCGCCGCCCGACTCTTTTGAGATGCATCATCAAAATCTGATCTGTTGTGTGTGTGTGTGTGTTTTTTTTTATTCGCGTGTGCGTGGTGGTGGTGGTGGTGGTGGGGGGGGTTTAATTTTAAAAAAAAGATGTATAAAAGTCTACGTAACAGAACGGATGGGTTCAAGGAGCTGATCTGGTTGTAAAAGCGGCACTGACGAGTTTGGGTGGAGTGAGAAGAAACCAGAATTTTTATTTTACCGCAGGGTGGATCTTGACTTGTGAGACGCCCAAAGAGGGTGGCATCCAACTATTTATGATCGAATCGGTATTCGATATTTCCATGTCTTTCTGTCGCTTCTTAGGGGGCTCGTTGACTCCCGGAATACCTGATGCAACACCGAATGACATTTTTTTTTAAAAAACACACACACACACACACACCTTGATGGTTATTCCTTTGGTCGATGCGGTGCGACGGGCTCTGCCGTGCATTCATTCGGCTTTTTCTGGTGATGCAGAATTCACATTACGACATTTTTTTAGCCAGTTTTTTTTTCCACACCCTCTCTCTCTCTCTCTCTCTCTCTCCCCCCCCCCAGTCCTGCTGTTCTTGCAGAATGCTCAACCTGAACCGAATGAATGCCCGCGGATGTGATGTCTTTGTCGCATGATTTAAAAGGTTTTAGGTTTTTAAACCGATTTTATGCTTTTTCGGGGATCAATGAAACGTTGTCATTATCCATTTTCAAATACGTGGTATTGGAACAGATGTTAGCAAGAATCCATAATAGATGATATGACACATTGCACAAATAACCATGTTTAGACCTGTTTGGTCACTTTATGCTTAGCTGGGCAAGATATAGTCAAACACTCAGATTAAATTCTTCAACCTCAGTCTATTAGTCAACTTGAGATTTTCGTAGGGTTTTGTTAACCTGACTGGGTGAATCCAGTGCATGAATGTGCTTTGGCATTATCTATAATGTTAACTTAAAGTATAACTAGAAAAAAAAAGATATGTTTTAATGTACAACCTACCAAGTTCAATTTGGGTCTTCCATAATGAGAAAATCAAATTGACTTTTCAAAAATTAAAATGGAAAAATATGAAAAAAATGCATACTGGAGTTTTGAACATGTGGCTGTGATTTGGTTGCTGTTGAGTCTACATGTATGTTGTATAGATCAGTACATGAACATTTTGCTTTCAATGAGCAAAAAGATTCAGCAATTGGAATTCTATGACATGTTCTACCTAAATGCTGTTAAGAAAGACCTGGATCTAATTCATACAGTTTGGATAACCTGTCGTGAAGCATTCTGAGTTTTTTTTAAAAAAATGTTTGGATGGCTTCAAATCAGATCAGGTAACCATTTTTTTGTGAAGTAAATGCAAACGATAGCACAAATTCGATTCTGTATCATTGGTACCTTTTTGTGCATTATTTATGATAGAAAAATAAATTTGAAGGCCTGGAAGAAATTGGTTTGAAAGGCCTAGTTCATGCGAGGAAAGGAGAATTGGAGCCTTAGATGAGATCTCTGCCACAATACCCTGCAATGACGCTGAATAGTATGGGTAAAGATACTGATCTGCAAAGGTCTCAGTTGTAGAAAAACATTTGAAAAAATATCCTGGATTTCTGCACCCATTCAGAGGCACTTATAGTATGAAAGTTTCAAATGCAAATACCTTAATAGCTATAATTCTAATGAGTTTAAAATGTGGTCCCTACTTTTAAAACATAGCCTATATTCCAACAACCTTTCAATAAATATGATATTCCTTTGCAAATCTATTTTTACTGTTGCAGCAGGTTTTCACAAATATTTTGTTTACAGCCTTTGCTTATGACTTTGCAAATTCTGATTCTTGGTTCAGTTAATGGGATTGTTGTCGTTTGTTCCCACTGGGACTTTTATTAACCATATTGTATGTTGTGACGTTAATGGAATTCTGAAAAGAATGCAACACTAGGCCAACACTGCAATACTGATATAGCGGCTCACATTTAGAGCTCCAATCTAATCAAGGAACCATATGAGATGTTCACTATAATATGCCCTCATTAAAACATTGCTCTTGAAGAGAACCAGTATACAGTTTTAGGGAGAGAATTTTAACTGTATGTAATGTTTCCTGGAATTTGTATTTCAGTGTGAAATTATTGGTATACAGTGGAGTTATTACTCTATTTTAATGTAAATCTGCAAAGCATCTACCTTTCTCTGAAAGGGTTAGGTTGCAAGTTAATCTCAGATCATGCCAATGCTTCTGACATTACCCATCATACCTTCCTTCAGTCATTGCTGAGATGACTCAGTTGCTCATTTTTTTTTAAAAAAGGAATACTGCATCAGGAATGAAGCAGCTTTATTGCAAGGAATCAATACATATTGAGAATGATCTACAGCTTCATTTTGAGTTTTTGCAATTCTGTTTTAATTGTGACAATGGTAGGAAGTTAGATCAGAGAAAAAAAATTGGAAAGCAATTAGAGTAAAATGTTTTTTCAGAGCCTCAGGTAAAACTATATGTCCCCTTTTTGAGAGTTACATTTTTAGAAAAGCTAATCTTTGCTTTAATAGCCTAGAAGTTTGAAATGTCTAGTAAGCAGAATTAGCTAGACTGTTTGATACTTTTAACTCAGAAATGATACCCATGGCATTGGTGCGTCATATTCAGAAGCTATAATATTGTACTGCAAACTTTTTTTTAAGAAGAACAGTTCTTAATACACTGAAATCCAAAATGGAGGCTATATTCATTAGCCTGGAGATGGAAACTAGAAATCTTCTCAAATTGGTGATCAATGACTATTCATTTTCAAAAATTAAAAAAGGATATACCAGTATACAAATAATAATTCCTATTATCCTTAATGTAAGGTGACCCGCCCCATGTTCCTAGTCATCTTTGAGAGAGTAGAAAGTGTGTTTGATATGGCTCTTTATCATGTCAAAATGTTTTGAAGTGCCTCAGTTTTCTGTAAAATGTAGTGACAATGTATTCGGAGGCAAACCTTGCAGTCAGTTTGTGTAAAGTAATTCATAATTATTATGACAGTGTCCTGCAAATTGGCATGGAAGTAATAACCATTTAGTTATCGGGGGCATTGTTTGGCAGCATATAATCCCTTATCGTTTTGAATAATGTCATCAAATCTTTAAGTCCACGAGAACCAGTTAACATTTCAACCCAAAGAGGTCATCTCCGACAATGCAGCGCTGGAATGGACTTGATTGATCTCAAAATCTCAACTTACAACCTTGTGAATCAATCACAAGCGTGCTATCAACTGAGCCAGGCTGATAACTGGTAACTTTAGACCAGTCAAACAATATGTTTTGTCTACTTTGGAATAATATTATAATATAAATATGATGCATCAAAATTATCCTAATAACCATGACAAGTTTTCCAATTTAAAAAACTGATAATTTAGAGTATTCTCCATGGTTGTAATGACATTGTATTGTGCTAGCCTCCCTCTCTCTTCCTTTCTCCCCAAATCTTCCTAACCTACGTTCTCTTGGCATTAACCTTTGCTCTATTGGCAAAAAAAATGTATGGCTGTGTGGAATTCGCACATTGTGCTCTATTACTAGGGTGGGAATTGTGCTAGTGATCTTGTGCACAATTTCATGTGTGGTGACAGGATTTTTTTTCTGTTCCTCATAATCCACGAGTATCAATTATGAAATGTAATATTTAGGATTGAAAAAAAATCTTATGGTCAAATAGTATGGTACTGATGCATAGATACATAAAGGAAAAAGAGAAATCAAAGGATTGAAACAAGGTTGCAGGACCCACACAATGACAGTTTCCTATGATGAAAAATTGACAAAATTGGATGCATTTTAGCCAAAAGATAGTTAGAGAAGCAGCTTTGAGTGAGTGAGGTGAAGCTTGTCAATTGTTGAGGTCAACTGTCTCAGAGTCTTAACATTACACATCTAAAGTGGAACACAGCACAGCTAGAATTTCTCTGCCAGACATTGGTGGTGCAGTTGGATGAATATAGTATG